CACACGCACACGCACACGCACACGCACACGCACACGCACACGCACACGCACACCCACACCCACACCCACACCCACACCCACACCCACACCCACACCCACACCCACACCCACACCCACACCCACACCCACACCCACACCCACACCCACACCCACACCCACACCCGCACCCACACACACACACACACACCACACACACACAGACACACACAGACACAGTGAATCGCCGATCCCCCAGAAACTATCTAGGAAACTGTGGGAAGTGAGGGGGGAGGGGAGACAAGACCCAGAAGAAGTGCGGAAAGTACGGGGAATCCTGTTGTTTGTGTCCATTTTTTAATGTGTGTCCCAGGGCCCCTTCACCTAGAGGAAGCACAGGTGGGACAAACGTCAGCTTCCGGGGGTCCGCGCGGAGCTCTTGGCTCTGCGCTGGAGCCCCCCGCCACTGGCGGGCGGCGGGCGCCGGAGGCGGCGCCGCCCACGGGGGGCCCAGCGCGGGTCGGAGCACTCCGCGCAAGCCGTCGAGCGCTAGTGCTTGCGCAGCTCTGAAGGGGGTCCTCCCTGGGACACACAGATATCTCGCCATCGCTCGGACGTCCATTCCCTGTGTTTTTTGTTCGCCTTCGTGCGTGGCTTTTTCGCCAAATGCTCAAGAAGTGCACACGTCCGAGCGATGCCACGATATAAGTAGACACAGATCGCAGGATTCCCCAAACTTTCCCGCATGTTCTGGGCGTTTTGTTTTTCTCCTCCCGAAGCCCTTGCTTCCCCCGAGCCTGGTGCTGGCCCTTCTCGAGCGCGCTCTCGAGGATCTCGCGGACGTGCCTGAGGGGGCCGTAGCGACACGAGGGGACTGGTGTTATGGTGTTCCAGCCTACTTTCGCCTCGACCACCAGCAAGAATCTCGAGCACCAGGAGAACACCGAATCCTGAGGGCCTTCACGTGTCGGGCCCTGGGAGGCGATAACTACTCGTTCGACACTGCTTCTGTACTCGTTTGGGTGCTCGAGATTATTTCTGGGATGTGGTCCTCAAGTGCAATGGGAACAACGTAAAACTGGTGATTACTTACCGGGGGGGGGGCAAAGAGGGGAGCGTCCAAGAGGGGGGGGGGATGCCAATCGTGGCGGGCGGCACGTGCGCGGCCCAGCGGGGGGGGGCCGCGGACGTCTGAAAACGAGAGGAGGCGCCACGAGATCTGTGGAAATATCATGGCCCCCGTCATGATGTCCACACCCCCCTATTGTTCATCGCCCCCCTCTCTGCCGCCCCCGAGCGATCCTGCTTACCGGCGGGGGGGAGGCCTGGAGCCGGCAGCGGCGAGGCACCGCCGAGATAGGTCGGCGGCAGGGCCCCACGTCGGCGAGGAGCAGGAGGAAGAGGAGGAGGAGCAGGAGGAAGAGGAGGAGGAGGAGGAGGAGGAGGAGGGGAGGAGGAGGAGGAGGGGAAGGAGGAGGAGGAGGAGGAGGAGGAGGAGGAGGAGGAGGGAGGAGGAGGAGGAGGAGGAGGCGGAGGAGAGGGGAGAACGGGTCGCCTAAGCCCTTCGGAAAAACCCTCCGCACGGTCCTCCGGGCGGGCTGGGCCCTCAGGGCCCCACGTCGGCGATCCCATGGGCCACTGGGTGGAGCAGGGGCCGACGGCCCCGGCCTTCCTGCAGGCCTGCCACGACATTGCCTCAGAACCCAGGCGTGTTCGAGGAACAATATGACAGTGCTCTCAAAACAGAATCCCGATGGGGGGTCCAAACGAGACGGTCCCACGAAATGTTCTTAGAGCCCAAACATGTTCTAAGCACAACATGACACTGTTCTCAGAACAGAGGCCCGATGGGGGTCAAAACGAGACGGTCCCAGCCGGAGATGTTCACTGAGAACCTCTCGTGGAAGCCGCAAAAAAGGTTCCGAGAACACTGTTTGATGGACCCATAGGCGAGCCAGGACGCTTGGCCACTGCTTGAATTGGGGGGTCGATGTGCAGTCGGACTTGATTGGACAGGACACGCGAGAGGACCCAAGACCCTTCCGAGGGCCACGTTGCCACAGGAAGGTAAGAAAGCGTGGGTCGCGAAGCTCAGGACGCAAGGGTACCCTCGACTTGACAGGGCCGACCTACTAATCAGGGTCGATCTAGGGCTCCCAACTTCGCGCTTCGCGCGCCGCGAAGCGCGAAAAACTTCGCGCTCTCGCGCCGCCCCCCCCAAAGGGAGAAGAGGAGCACGAGGAGGAGGAGGGGGAGAAGGAACGAGGACCGCGAGGCGCGGATCGCTCCGCGCCCTCGTGGGGGCCCTGGTCGCTGCATGCTTCTGCTCCCCCCCGAGCCCCCCTCGCCCCCCCCCCTGACGCTGCCCCCTGTAGGGAGCACACAAAGGACGTACGCGCCCAGCTATGTACATGAACACGGCCCCTCGACCCGCGAGACCTGCCGCGCGATACGAACACTCGCGCAATGCGAACCCTCGAAACCAGCGTGGATTCATGTACATGTACGTCCTTCTTTCGCTCCTGACCCTGGGATCCTCGGGCCCCGCCTCGCGCCCCTCTCCGGCGGCCGGGCGCCCCCCCCCCCCGGAAGCGCGCGCGCGCCCCCGGCGAGGCCCGGGCAGAGGGCCGCCCGAGCGCCGGGCGAGGAGGCCCCGACGCCGCCTCGGGGGCCGAGCGAGCGCCCTCCCACGAGACGTCCGCCAGACGTCTCCGCCCCCGCCCGCCCGCCCCCTCGGCCCCCCTACTCTTGCCATCGCTCGGACGTCCGTTCCTCGCTTGTTTTTCGGACGCCGCCTCGGGGACCTCGCGAGCGCCCCCAAAACGTCCGCCCCCGCCCGCCCGCCCCCTCTCGGCCCCCCAACGCTTGCCAGCGCTCGGACGTCCAGTCCTCGCTCGTGTTTCGATGCCGCGCGTGCTCTTTTCTCGCCGGGGTCGCCCAGGAGGCTCGCCTCCCTGGTCCTCGCCGAGGAGCAGCGTGCACACGCCCGGGTGATGATGCCAATCCAACGCCGCACCCCTCGACCGCCCCCCCCCCCCCCCTCGCGGCGGCGAGCCCGGGGGAGGGCGGACGAGGGAAGGGGCGGGGCCATTCTCAGAAGCCCCTGGCCGTCCGAGAAGTTTCATGCAGGGCCTTCCCCGAAGGCAGAGGGCACTGCTCAGGAGGCGCGAGGGCTTCTGAGAAGCCACGCCGCCTCACAGTAGGGGCCCGACCACAAGAAACCTTCCACAAGAAACCCAACCCTGAGACCCCAGGACGTCTGTGGATTTTTGGTGTGGGAACGTCACGCTCAACATCACAAAACCATCGAAGCCCAAGAAACCCAGGGCACCCTGGCGGCGAGCAGGGTGTTTCTTCGCATGGGTCTCCACTGTATGAGAAGGCCTTCTCCTTCTCACTTCCCCCCCTCGCTCGACGCCGATCATGGGAGACCGGCCGCGGTTCGGTGGATGCTGGAGGCCGAACGGGTGGGGCCACATCGGCGCTCAGATCCCCCCCTCGCTCGCCGCCGACTCTCAGCGCCCGTTTTAACGGGGACTTCACTGACGGGCACTTTGGCCAGTGACCCGGCGAACCCAACCCTCCCCGATGTGGGCAACGCTGCAGTGCCAGAACGAGGCCCGAAAGTGGTAACTTTCGGCAACTTTCCAGAGTACCTATCGGTCGGAAGAAGTAGGTAGAAACATGAAGTAGGAAGGCGCTGAAAAGAGATTGGGTGTCCACCCGCTTCCTGAAGAGGCTGGAAAAGACGAAGCCACTCGATCATCATTGAATCGGGAAGGCGCTTAAAAGTATATTGGAATCTGGGAATCCAAGCATACCGACTTTCCACGACCGATGGGCACACGCCAATGAGTACCCGCAGGGCTGAACCTAAACGGTCATCTTCGTTTTCGTTTTGCCTTTGCCTTCCCTCGTTTTGTCTCCAATCCGCCCCTGCCGCAAAACGCAGCCGAAACGAAAACGGCCCACGACATCGCCAAAGCACCGTTCAGGCCCAGCCCACGAGCACTCGCCACGCTGCCGCCGAGACTCCCGTTGCCCCCGGGCGCCGGAGCGTCTGCTCCCAGCACGCCAGGCGCAGCTCCGGGGGAGCGCCCTCCGCCGCAGCCCCGCCGCGCGCCGCCGGGGCCCTCCCGGCGCAGGGCCGCTGGAGCTCGGCGCAGCGGCTCTTCCGCATGGAGGTGGACTGGCTGTGCGGCAAGGCTTCGGGGCTGCGCGCAGTGCGGGGGGGCCCGAGCCCTCGGGGGAGGAGCAGAAGGCACCCGTGCACGCCTCCGCCCTTCGCCCGCACTCCCCTGGCCGGGCCTCCCGGGAGGCCCTCGTCGCCACCGCTGGCTTCGCCTCGACGTTCTGGTCAGGACGCACCCCGGGAGAGGTCCGACGGGGTAGCCGTATCAGTACCTTCTGGTTTCCCCAGACCCAAGTGGTGACGGGCCGCGCGTTATGTTGTTCCCATCCTACTCAAGGACCGCATCCCAGAAACAATGCCGAGCACCAGGAAACATGTCAAAAGAGTGTCGAAACAGTGTCGAAACAGTGTCGGGCGAGTGCCTCCCAGGGCCCGACACGTGAAAACCCTCGAGGTAGGGTAGTTTTTTGGGCGCTCGAAATTCTTCCTGGCGGTCAAGGCAAAAGTCGGTCGGAGCATCATGTGCCGCGCGGTGTCCTCGGACTCCCCACCGGCCTCGCCGCGCGGTCCGCCGCCGCACGGGTGCTTGGGGGCCGTGGAGGCTCCCAGCCCCCCGGAGGCGCTCGAGGAATGCGGCCCGTGTCCCCTCAGGCCGCGCGGTGGTCCCGGACTCCCCAAGGACTCACCGCGGGGTTTAGGTAGCTCCCATCAGACTTCAGGACCACATCCCCAAAATAATTTCGAGCACCCCGAAAAGTGTCGACGGAGTGTCGAAGGAGTGTCGAAAGGGTGTCGAAAGAGTGTCTCCCAGGGCCCGACACGTGAAAACCCTCGATTTTCGGGGTGTTTTCCTGGTGCTCGAAATTCATTATGGTGATCAAGGCTAAAATAGGTTGGAACATCATAACGCAGGGTGTGGTGTGGCCCCGATCGCGATAAGGCGGAACCATTGAGGGCCCGCAAACGGTGTGGTGACCACACCGTGCGGTGAGTCGGTGGGGATTCGGGGTCACCGCACGGTTTCGGGACTCGGGCCGTTTTCCGAGGATGTCTCGGGCGACGGGGGCCTCCGAGGTCCCAAGACCGTGCGGTGACGGACCGTGCGGTGAGATCTTGGAGGATTTCGAAGTCAACGCACGGTCCGTCACCGCACTGTTTCGGGACTCCAAACATTTGCACGCCCGGAAGGGAGACGGAAAACATGGGTGGGCACGGTGCCCGACAGCAGTGCCCGTTCAGATGTGGCAAGTGTTGCTGTCTTCTGGAGCCTGCTGGCAGCAGCCCGTGACGTGTTGACGGCCATTCTTGCTCATTTCGGCAACATGTGCTGCTGTTGCCGAAATGCCGAAATGGCAAAATTTGTTGTCCGATGGGTGCCGAAGGACATCAGCTCTTGTTCCGAATCAGCGCGCACCGCTGCTGGGCTTCGCTCATCTTTCCATCGCCACTCCAGGCGCGCAGAAGCCAAGCTCAGGGCAAAATCGGATCGGGATGAATCGGGGGTCTCTGAGATCCCGCGGTTCTGGAGGATATATCGGGCCCCGCGGCCGTTTCAGAGCGCTCCGGAGCGCTCCCAGAGCGTTCCGGGACCCTCCGGAGCGAATCATCCCGATCACTCGAATCTATGAAAATGCGTAGAGCGATCTACAAACATGATAAGTCATTGTCGTAGATTCGACGAAGATTGCACTTGTGGGGCAAATCAATGATGCAGCCGATGTCCTACTCGAATCCTAAGCCTGTCTGACACAAGCAGCCTCCCCAACGGTCGGCGGCGACGACAGGGGCGAATAGCCCGGGGGCGAGCATTACACCTATTCGCCCGGGAGCCTTTTCCAAGACACAGACCATCGGCGCACCTGAATCCATGTCTTGCTCTTCCCTGGGCTATTCGCCCCATCCGTCGCCTCCCTGGCATCGCTCGGACGTCCACTCCCTGTGCTTTTTTCGGTTTCGTGCGTGGTTTTTTCGCCACACGATCAAGGATGCTCCTCGACCCCCCTTCGCCGAGAAAAAACGCACACGTCCGAGCGATGCCAGGCCTCTGACACGAGGCAGCCCCCGCTGGCCTCGACGCCGGCTCGGGTGCGCCGGCCAGGGGGGTCAGCAGGAGAGAGAGGCGCCCAGCGCACAAGGGCCCGGGGCGGGGGGCGCGGGCGACCCGGGCCCGGGGACGTGAGGCCGAGGAGGAGGAAGAGGAGGAAGAGGAGGAGGAGAAGGACGAGGAGGAGGAGGAGGAGGAGGAGGAGGAGGAGGAGGAGGAGGAGGAGGGGGAGGAGGAGGCAGGAGACTCGCCGTCGCTCGGGCGTCCCTTCGCCGTGCACTCTTCGATGCCGTGCGTGTGTGTGTTTTTCTCTTTCGCTTGCTGGCGCAGGCTGCTCCTCGATGGCCCTCGCCGGTGGAAACCGGCACGCGCCCGGAGCGATGCCGGGCTGACGACGAGAGGAAGAGGAGGGGGCCACGGAGGCTGGGTCGGACAGCAGAGGGGAGGACAGCAGCCCTGACCTGCCAGAGCGCTCAAACATGGCACTCCAGACCTGGAGAGATCTGTCTGGACGGCCTCGAACCTCGACGAGGACTTGGCACGTCGACGTCCTGGTGCTGTTTTTGTAGCCCTCCTGGAAGGTCTTCGCCCACTCATCGCCAATCGGGGCCCGATCGCCCACCCCGCCCAGAGGCGCGCGGTTTGGTAATCGAGAGCCTATCGCCGATTCATCGGCGATGTATCGCCGATGTATCCCTGAGCCAGGCCCCCACTATCATTCCCCCTGGTGAGGGGGAGGATGAGGAGGAGGAGGAGGAGGAGGAGGAGGTGCAGGAGGAGGAGGAGGAGGGGCCTGACTGAGCGAATCCGCTCGCGCGGCGGATTCTCCGGGCGCCCCTCGGCGCCAGAGGCGGCCATGGCGTGGGGGAGCGCGCCCGGCGACGGGCGCGCGCCTCTGCACGTGGCCGCCTTGGTCCCTGCCCTGCCCGAAGGATTGCAAAAAAAAACCCTTGAACGAAGGATTGCAAAAAAACGAAGGATTGCAAAAAAACAAAGGGTTTTTTGCAATCCTTTGAAAAAGGCCCCCTTTTATCCCTAGCCTGCCCTTTCCTCCCTTTTCCCCTCTGCCTTCCCTTGCTCCCGGAGATTCCTAAAACAGGGCTATAGGATCGGGATAACTCGCTCCAGAGCGTTCCGGAGCGCTCTTCTTAGAGCGTTCCGGAACGTTCTGGAGCGGCCGCGGCGCCCAATATATCCTCCAAGCCCGCCGATTCTCAGAGATTTCGAGTTATCCCGATCCGATTTTGTCCCGATCTTCGCTTCGTTTTACCTCCCCAGATTTTACGGACAAAAAAATGGGTACCATGCCCAACAACAAATGTTGTCCCAAACCAGCAGCGGCCGCTGTTGGGCGGGCGGCCTTCTGTCTCAAATGGACACAGGCCGCGGCGGCGCCGACAGCGAGTCCGGTTCAAAATGAACAGGAACGGCTGTTGGGCATTGTACCCATTCTTTCCGAGCCTATCTCGTTCGTGCAGACCATAGCATGCATGCAGCAGATCTCGTAGACACCCTCTTTCCCTATCCTGCAGTGGGAGCTCGACCACAAGAAACCTTCCACAAGAAACACGACCCTTGTACCCCAGGACGTCCATGGATTCATGGTGCGGGAACGCCACGCTTTGAGTAGCAAACCCATCGAGACCCAAGAAACCCGGGGCACCCTGGAGGCGAGCACGGTGTTTCCTGGCATGGGTCTCTACTGTACCCTCTCGTCCGGCCCGAGGTTCGGGAGGGCCCCACGAGGTCTCCGGGAGACTCTGCGGCCCTGGCCGGGGATCCACCGAGCCCCGCTCCTTGAGATCCGACGCCGCAGAGCAAACACACAACATCGCAGACGATCACGATCAGGGCCCCAGACTGATGATGTTCCACTGCAGCCTTGACCACCAAAAAGCATTTCGAGCACCGATACTTGAGGTTTTCACGTGTCGGGCCCCGGGAGGCGAGACTCCTCGTTCGACACTGCTTCTATACTTGTCTGGGTGCTCGACATTACTTCTGGGGTGTGGTCCTTAAGTGCGACGGGAACAACATAACCCCAGACCCCGTTTTTGTACTGCATTCTTCGACGCAGCTCGATCTGTGATGGCGAACACGCCCAGTGTGCAAAAATTGCAAGGCCCAGATCTGATGGTTAGTCCTCTCCCCCTTCTGGAGCAACAGAAACAGCATAAACATGAACTTTTGGCGCTGGCGATCCGCGCGGATTTCTTGGACCTGAGCTGGACCCCCCTCCCTGGCGCGCGGAGCGCGCCAGGGGCGGCGCTGGAGGCGCCGCCAGGGCGCTCCAGCGCAGATCCCAAAAAGCCGCGCGGAGCGCCACAAGTTTATGCTCGTGCCGTTGTTTCTTCTGCGACCTTCGACGCCCCCGACCAACAGGCCCCCCCGGCGCCACCGAGGGGGCCGAGATCACCTCGCGCTGCTCGGCCGGGGGGCCTGCGGCAGGGGGGGCCTCGCCCGTGCGCAGAGCCCGAAGCCTTGCCGGGCTGTACGGCACGATGGCGCCGTCGCGGTACCTGGAAGAGCAAGAATCGAGTAGGGGATCGACTGCAGGATGGATTTACCCCAGGGGATTCCCTTCCCGTCGAATCTGCGAAACACACGAACGTAGCATGTTCGTCGATGTGCGACCATGATATACCTTTTTGTTCCGTTGAGTTGGCGAGCGAAAGCCCTCTTTGGGGTGATGCAATGTTGTAATCGATCCCCTACTCAAGAGAAGCGGCGCGAACACATCATGTCTCGGAAGTCCGCGCGGACCTCCCAGATCGGCCCCCCCCCCGGCGCGCAGAGCGCGCCAGGGGCGGCGCCGGAGGCGCCGCGGGGGGGGGAGCAGCGCTGTGCCAAGAGATGCGTGCGGACCTCCGAGAAATTCTGTTTAGGTATGGATTTCGTCGCTCTTCGTAAGGAGCCGAACTCTATACACACCAACGCTTTGTCTGGCCCCGCCCCGGAAATCGGATCCTGGTGTATGCGGGATCCTGCTGTATACATTCTTCGCTGGCTCCTCGGGAAAGGGAAGAAAAAAGTATACACCACACCACACCGACGTCGTCCCCGACCCTCAAAAAGTCCTGGGAGTGAAACAGAGCCCGCCACTGGTAATGTTAGGTCGGGCGTGTCCCCCTGCAGCAGGGTTTTGGACAGAAGAAATGCACCATACCCCCCAAATGCTCAAACATACACCAACATAGTTACAGCATCGGCCGCAGACCATCTTTTAGATTCTATTGGAATCTTCCTCGTGTAGAGGGACACGCCCGACTGAATGGCAATGTCTGTGCTCCAGCTTCCGAGGCTTCGAGCACCCCAGCAGCTGCCGCCGGGTGATGGCCAGCTGCATGATGTGGCACACCTGGCCGAGCGAGCGCCCGCGCAGGAACGGCGGGCGCCGCGCGGCCAGCGCCCGCGCGCTCGCGTAGCGGCCTCCGGGGAACTGGTCGGCCTCGCCGAGGCTCGCAAAGTGCTCCGCCGCCTCCTTCCACATCTCCTCGGCATGTTCTGAGCGGGGACCGACCGTCCCGGCATTCCTGTAGGTCTACCACGAAGTGTCCTTAGAACCCACACATGTTCTGAGAGCAGAACCACGTTCTTGGAGCATAAGCCCGTTGTGTTAAGACAAGACAATACCAGCCAGACCCCAAAGGTTCTTAGAACATTCTTTGGTAGGCCTAGAAGCCAGCCAGGACGCTTCGCCACTGCTTGAATGAAGGAATCGGGTCTTGGCTTACGTTGTTCCCGTCGTACTTGAGGACCACATCCCACACATGATTCCGAGCACCCAGAAAAGTAGCAAAAGAGTGTCTGCCCGACACGCTGCCCAAGTGCCGAACGAGTTCGTATCGCCTCCCATGGCCCGACACCTGAAAGCCCCTCAGTTTCGGTACTCTCTTGGTGCACGAAGCTCTTCCTGGCTATCGAGGCTGAAGTAGGTTGGAACATCAGAAGTCTTGGAGGGAACGCGCCCTGGCCCCCGGGGCTTCCCCCAACACACTATGTTCGTCCCGAGCAGCTCTCTGACAAGCGCAAGGCACCGGGGGGGGGGGCCCGAGAGGCCCGAGACGAGGAGGAGCATCCGTGACCCGTTTTTCGGGGGCGCGCCAACATGGATTAGCGATGCATGGATTTGGCGCGCCGTCGCCAAATCCACGGATCGGGGGAGGTGCCCTCCCCCAAAATGCGGCCGGTGCCGCCTCGCTCGGCGGCGGAAATCCGCGACTTCCCATGGAAACGGGACCCGTCGCTAATCCACGCCCCCTTGATCCATGTTTGCGATCGCCTGGGGTCTCCAGCGGAACAAACACTGCGCAAGCACAAACGCTCGGAGGTCCGCGCAAAAGTCTTGGCTCTGCGCTGGACCGCCCTGACGGCGCCGCGTCCGGCGCGCCCCGTGCGCCAGGGAGAGGGCCCAGCGCGAATCCAAAAACTCCGCGCGGACCGTGGGAAGTTTGTGGTCGTGTGCTGGTCTCTTCCTCGACAGGGCTGGACCTGAACGCTGTGTTTCGTTTTGTTTCCGTTCTGTTTTTCGTCTTGCTCTGCCCGTTTTCCTGTACCTCCCTGCCAATACGAAAACCAAAACACGGCCGACGTCCAGTCAAACAGTGTTTAGGTCCAGCCCTGTTCCTCTCAGGCGGGGCGAGAAGGGGGGGGGGTAGCAAAGGAGGGGCTGGATGATCAGCCCACGTAGCTGATTTTCCCGGCGCCTCCCGGCGCCGGGAGGCGCCCATGTATCGAGGAATGCGCCCTTCGGTGGGGCCGAAACCATCCGCATGCAGCAGATTTCGTACCACCCCTTTCCCCCTGACCTTCCAGAGTGTTAAAAAATAACACTCCAGACCCACAGATCTATCTGTACTGCCTCCAGCCTCGACAAGAACTAGGACGCCGACGTCCTGGTGCTAGTTTTCAGCCCTCCTGGAAGGTCAGGGCACTATCCCCCCCCTTTCTCGTTCGGCCTGGCCTTGTCTCTGCATGCCCCCCCCCGCAAAGGGTCGAGCCGTGGACGCCTCCCGGCGCGCGGCCTGGCCGGGATCCCGAGGGGCGCCTCCGGCCGCGGCGACGGGGCACCCCCCAGGGAGGCCCAGGATTAGGTCGGGCCTGCCCCCCTGCAGGGGGATTTTCGAAGAAAGACAAAAAAAATACCCCAAAAAGAATCCAACAATCATCCAAAAATTATCTGGGGACCACTTTTTTTGTATTTTTGACCCTTTGGGGGTATTTTTGGGGTATTCTTGGTTTTTCGTCGAAAATCCCCCTGTAGGGGGACAGGCCCGACATAAGCCCAGGATGAAGGGGCCCTTGGACACACAAACAAATAGACACAGTAACAGGATTCCCCATATTTGGCCATATTTGCTGGGTTCTTGTCTTCCCCCCCCACTTCCCCCATTTTCGTACATTCTCTGGGGAGTCGTCGATTCGTTGTGTCTGCGTGTTTCCTTCCCTCCTGACAGGAGAGAGGCCGAGGCTCCTCGGGGTAGGGGTCGCTGCGGCTGTAGATGTCCACGAAGCCGGCGGGCCGGTCCTGCAGGAGTGAGCACAGGAAAGGTAGATTCGAAGGGGCCCAGGGATTGGAAGGGGCCCAGGGACACACACACACAAGGCACAAGTCACAGGATTCCCCCTATGTTCCCATGCTCTCTGGGGTTTTTGTCTTCCCCCCACTTCCCCTAGTTTCCCACATTTTCGGGGGATTCGGCGATTTATTGTGTCTGTGTGTTTTTCCCCCTCCTGAGTGGAGGCTAGTCCACCAGAAACCTGCCACAGGAAAACCCAACCCTGGAATCCCAGGGCGTCCATCACCGATGTCCAGAGCGGGGGCGCCGCGCTCGCCGTCGCAGAGCCCTCGAGGCCCAGGAAACCCAGGGCACCCCGGAGGTAAGCCGGGTGCTGCTTGGCAGGAGGAGGAGGAGGAGGAGGAGGAGGAGGAGGAGGAGGAGGAGGATGAGGAGGTTCCGGAGGCCCGCGCGGAGGTCGTCGGCCGTTGCTGGGCTCCCCCTCCCCCCTGGTGCGCGAAGCCCGCCGGGGGCCCTCCCTGCTGGGGGCGACTCCTCCAGGATCACCGAGCGCCGAGCCGAGAAACGAGCGCGGACTTCGAGAATGCTCGTGCTCCTCCTCTTCCTCCTCCTCCTCCTCCTCCTCCTCCTCCTCCTCCTCCGCCTCCTCCTCGCTCGCTCGCTCGCTCGCTCGCTCGCTCGCTCGCTCCTACTCCTCCTCCTGCTCCTCTTCCTCCTCCTCCTTCTCCTCCTCGCTCCTCCTCCTCGCTCGCTCGCTCGCTCCTCGCTCGCTCCTCGCTCGCTCCTCCTCCTTTTCCTCCTCCTCCTCCTCGGGCCTGTGCTCCGAGGCTCAGGATCGGCAGCCACATCTGCATCCCCTCAGTGCAAGGCTTGGCCCCGCTGTCCGATATGCTAGGGCGACGAGATCTATGCATATCCACTGCTCCTGGCCAGGCCAATCCTGGGCCCAGGAGCGGTGTATACGCCCTCCTGGCCTGGCCAGGGAGGCATATACACAGCTCCTGGGCCCAGGATGGGCCTGGCCAGGAGCAGTGGATATGTATAGATCTCGTCGCCCTATATGCCCCCCCCCGCATCGTGGGGACGTGTGCCCTCCCGCCCGGTCTCGCGGCAGCCGCAGAGGCAGAAACAGCGGCATGCACATAAACTGCCAGCGCCCCCCGCGGACTCCTTGGATCTGCGCGGGACCCCCCTCGCGTGCGCCCGGAGCGCGCCAGGGGGCCGCGCCGGAGGCGCCAGTACGAGTACGGGGCCCCAGCGCAGGTATCCAAGAGGTCCGCGGGAGCTCCACGGCATGATCTTGAGGCGGACCTCCTCCTGCAGGTGCTGCAGAGTTGCGGGCTTCTTCCCTTGCGCCAGCGCTTCGCCCCGGATCAATACGTGGTACAGTCGAGGCGTTGACCTAAGGAATCCTAAATAAGGAACGGGGCCCCATTTTTCCATAAGTCAAACTTTGACTTCCCATCGAAAACCTAAGGAAAACCTCAGGCAAGCTGCAAAACAATGAAGGAGCACGGAGCCCCTCCCCAACGAGAAGGGTTTCTTTTTCAGCGCCCCGACTGTAGCCTGGGGCCCGAGAACGGCCCCCAGAAGCTCAAGTCGGGGGAAACGCGCCGCTGGAAAGAATCAGATCGTCGTTGCGACACAGTGAAGAAAACCGAGCCCCGGAGCCCTGGGACACGTCTTTCTCCACTGTTTGTCCAAGCGGGACCGTGAGGGGCCCCAAACGAGGCAAAATCGCCCGTGGCGAAAAAATGCAACGCCCGGATCTCAGCAGGGGACCTACAGGCTCCTCTCTTGTGTGGGCAGATGCACTCTCTGTCGGGTCTCGCGGCCTCCCGTCCCCACCTTGACCAGGCGTGGACCAACCCGGCTCAGCGCGGACCCAGCTCAACCAATTCTGAGAAAGCTTTGCCTTGCCGTCGCTCGGACTTCCATTTCCCTTGCTTTTTTTCGGTTTCGTGCGTTTTTTTTGTTGCTCCATGGTCCAGAGGATGGTCCTCGATGGCCCCCGCCGACAAAAAAACATGCACACGTCCGAGCGATGCCAAGTTGCCCTCTCGGGGAGGCTCTTCAAGCCCGGCTCGGCCAGTGTGTAACGCCACCTCCAGGGCCGCGAGCGGCTCCCAAGCCCGGCCCAGCCCGACTCCCGAGGTTGCAGAATCCTGCAGGGGGGCGGCGCTCGGACGTCCATCCCCTGTTTGGGTTGTCGGCTTCGTGCGTGGCTTTTTCGCCAACTGATCAAGGATGCTCCTCGATGGTCCTCGCCGAACAGAAAATGCACACGTCCGAGCGATGCCAAGGCAGGGGACGGCGCTCTGGCCGAGCCCCGTTTGCGCGCGAGGTGCCGAACACAACCAGGCATCTTCCGTCGCACATGTTTTTTGTTTATATATATAGATAATATCGACACAAGCACGTCTAGTCTAGGGTTGCCTGCCGAGTGAGCCTCGAGTCTTTTGGTCATCCAGGGGCTCCCATTTGATTGCTGGAAGGCCCGAGTAGCCCTGCGTGCGTAGGGTGCGCGTGTGAGGTCGTTGGGCGTGCATGACAAGCGTACGTTGGAATCCTATGTGCTGATGTTGATGAGCATGCCTAGACTAGCTCAAAGTTATCAATTCGGGTATGGTCGTTTTTGGTATGGTCGTTTTCGGTATGTCTGGACGAAAGTCGCGTGGCGGTGCTTCTGCAAGAAACAAAGTCGGGGCCTCCCAGATGTGGTCCGAGGATCGCGCCGCATCGGCGATACATCGGCGACGCATCGGCGACGTCGGCGGAGCATCGGCGCCGTCGGCGTGGTGAAAATCGGGCTCCGCATCGCGCCGCATCGCATATGCATCGGCGACGCGGCGCGATCTGCTCGGACACCATTCGGGCGTTGGCAGAACTGGGTTTAGTGGGATCTGGTTTAGTGATGTGTACTGGGGGCGTCCCCCTGGCCCCGTTCCACTGACCGGAACCGCCGTCACCCGAAAAAACACGAGCTACGGAAGACCTGGTTTAGTGCTTCTGGCCAATTTAGGGGCCCTGGGGCCCTACCACTAACCGGGTCCCCTTACCTGGGGTCCTGGCTTTACCCGGACCATGTGGGAGGCCCAGACATCAGGACGCACGACTTTCGGTCGACAACTCGGCTCTCTGGCCGCCGCTCGGGGCCATCGGGGCCCCCGCGGAACGCTCTTGGCGAGGTGCATCCGCTGGAAGCTATCCCGAGGCTGGAAAACCGCGGAGAACTGACGAAACCGCCCGAAGACTTCACGCCTCAAAAACTTACCAAAGCCCTCTCTGGGAAGCCCTGAACCAGAGGGAACCCAAGGCCATCCCTCCGGCTGTCCACGAGCAGCACGGCGAACTCGCCCCCGTCCTCGGGCTCCACGCGCAGGCGTGGGCAGCCCTCGCAGAGCGCTCGCAGGCGCTCCGCGCCGACGACCTCCTCCTGGCCGCCAGAGGGCGCCTCGGCGTCATGGGCGTCGTCGGCGTCGTTCGTCGGCGTCGTCGGCGTCGTGCGGCGGCGGCGTCCCCAAACCTCCGACGACCGGAGTTGCCTCAGTGCGGACGCCCTTCTTCTCGCTCATTGGCCTCCGGGGCTCGCCCAGTCCGGCCCCGGGGCCACAGCAGCAAGCAGAGCCGGGGCGAAGAGCTGGCTCCAGGGAGGGAGGGGGTCGGGGCCTCCAGGGTTCCACCACCACCACCGCCGAGCCATGCATCCGGCAGGGCGCGTGGGCGGGAGAGTGCACGAGTGGCAGCTCCTCGGACGAACCGTGACACGCGCGAGAGTGCGGCACGCCACTGAAGCGGTGAGTGTGTGTGTGTGTGTGTGTGTGTGTGTTTGTGTGTTTGTGTGTGGCGGGGCCTCGGCTGAGAATCGGTGTTGCGGCCATTCGGCCGCATCAGGGAGAAGTCACCTCGTCGGGTGCCTGGGTGCGTCGGCGCCGTCGGCGTCTGCGCCGTCCGGGATCCGAGGGCTGGGGCTTTTCCACGTCGTGCGCTCTCGCCCGGGGCAGCACAGCAAGCGGTCCAGCTCGAGAAGCGCCGCAGAGAGGGGTGGGGTCTGTGGGGCTCCAGGGCGTGACTTTTGTCGCCCTGCTGCAGCCGTGCCGCATCGTCGGGTGTCGTCGTGTCTCGGGTGGGGGGGGAGAGGGAGGAGGGGAGAGGGAGGAGGCCTCCATGTCTCTCTTGCTTCTCTGCTGTTGCCGCTGCCACTGCTGCCGCAAGAATGCTGCCGAGCAGAAGAGGGGTACTGAAAGGAAGAAGGAGGAGGAGGAGGAGGAGGAGGAGTTGGAAGAAAGAGGAAACAACTGTACACCCAGAAGCTTTCGGAGCTCCGCGCGGGTTTCTTGAATCTGCGCTGGGCCCACCTCCCTGTCGCTCGGAGCGCGCCAAGGAGCCGCGCAAGAGGCGCTGGTGGGGCCCCAGCGCCGATCCGAGAAATCCGCGCGGACCTACAACACGTTATTCTTATGCATTTGTTTTCTTGCGAGGCCCCAGGAGGGCGGCGCCGGAGGCGCTGCCAGAGGGGTCCAGCGCAGATTCTGGACATCCGCGCAGACCTCCGACAATTCATGGTTGTGCCATATTTGTTCTTCCCCGACGGCAGGAGGAAGGAGGAGGAGGAGGAGGAGGAGCAGAGTAAGGACGATGAGGAGGAGCAGGAGGAGGAGGAGGGGGGGGAGAAGGGGGGGACCATGGAGCACGAATTTGTCGGCCTCCAAAGAGGCAGTGCCGAGGAATGAGGAGGAGGAGGACCAGCGCAAACCCAAGAGCCAGCAACGATGTTTTGAGCAGGGACCGACCGTCAAAGGCGTTCCCATAGTCCTACCACGAAATGTTCTTCGAACCCAAAAATGTTCGAAGAGCAAAAGCACAATTCTTAGAACACAAGCCCGATGTGATAGAACAAGACAGTCCCGACCAGAAATGTTCTAAGACAATTTCGTGGGAATCACAGAAGGCTCTTGGAACATGGTTTGGTAGGACTATAGGCACACCAGGACATTCCAACGCCACGGATCAACCTGACGGTTGCGTCTTGACGGTCCTGGATCGTGCCAGAACGCCTTCTTGGGATTTCATTCAACATCGCGAATCAACGTATCTGCTGCACCCGCAAAATCCTGAATCCTTCCAAAGCACCATGTCTGGTCAGTTGATCGCGGGAATCCGTAAATCTCTTGCAAATGTTGTGAAATAATGCGCGCGGCGCTAAGGCGAGAACCACATTTTGAAAAGGAACCGCCCTCATTACGTGAAACTCTTGCACATGTTTAAAACAACTGTGCGCGGCGCTAAGGCGAGAACCACATTTTGAAAACGGGTTATCCTCAATCAGTGAGTAACTTGCAAACGAAAGAATGTGCGCGGCGCTCAGGCGAGAACGACATTTTGAAACCGGGTTCTCCTCAATCCGTGAGAACCCTGCAAATGTTACAACGAATGTGCGCGGCGTTTAGGCGATACCCAAATTTTGAAAACCACCCGCCCTCCATCTGTGAAACTGTTGCCAACTTTTAAGCTTCAGAATCATAACTGGTGAGGAAGTATCAGGCGAAACGCCCGGCCCGCCCTAAAAACTGGCCTCGGGGTGCGACATATGCCACCAGAACAACACATTGTTCAGCGAGCAATCGAAAACTGAGCCGCCTTTTACCGAGTAAACTTGAAACTTCTCTCGTCTAGGAGGGGCCAACGCCATACAGCGAGCATGGAGCAGCACGGCAAGTCTTGCTGGGAAATACACGAGCAGTCAACTGACACTGCTCCGAATCGGATTGCACAAACATCGGCGAACTTGCAATTTTGGCACTTTGTCTTCCAACCGTCTAGATATCCATGTCTATGACATGGGGTCAAGGCGCATTCAAACTTACAAAGAAATGTCGTATATCAATCGTTCCTTCTGCGAGTCGTGATTCCGTGCGCCCATACTGAGACATGCACCATTCACTCTGCATAGCACACAGGCAGACTTCATGAACACGGTTGTATCAGTCACTTGTGCTATGCCGTGTGCAGCCGAAGGGCTCGAGACGCCATCGCAGCTGGCCCCGATGTCTTGATATCCCCCTCGAAGACGTCAGAAATCCTACCAGCCCTCTGTGCGTAGGTGGTCTAGGGCGGCTCCTCTTCCAACCCCCTTCTTCCCTTTCGGGGGGGGGTTATCACTGACCCGTCTTTCCTACATACACCCCCTCCCCCAGGCGACCGGGGGCCAACCAGGTACCATGCCGACACCATGACCACACGCCCCCCACCATCCCTGTCAAAAAGCAATACAGACCGCACTCTGCCTCCAAGTTTGGAGCATGCGCGGCCAACCCGATGCGGCCCCCCCACCATCCCTGTCAAAAATCAACGCCAAGTACACTTAGGGGCAAAGTCTTGAATCATGTTCGTGAGGCCCGCGAGCACTTCGTAGTGTTTTTGACAAGGACGGCGGGGGTGTCAGCATATTCCCTGCTGTGCGTAGGGCTACCACCCCTACAATACAACATGCACCTCGCGGCTAAATCTGGATCATGCGCGGCCATCCCGCGATCACGGTCAAGTGGTTTTTGACAGGGACGGCGAGGGTGGTGGCGCGTGGTCTGCTGTGCGCAAGCCCAGCAGACACAATTGTGGGCATCGGTTTTCGACAATGATGGCGGTGGCCTAAATGTTTCCCGATGTGAGCTGTCACGTGCGCAGGCGCACCTGACGCACTCTGCACGTGCCCCGAACGCGGCGCGCCTGGCGCGGCTGGAGTGCGCGGCACACCTGGCGCACTCGGAGCACGTGGCGCATCTGGCGCACCAGGCGTGCCTGGCACGCTCTGGCCCTAGGGGTGCCTGGCGCGCGTGGCGCCCCTGGCACGCGTGGCGCACATCGCCCAAACGTCGCGCACCTGGGGTCGGCTTTGGTTCCCAATAGCTGTCCATCCAAAGACGACCGCTGAACATGCTCAGGCTCGGGTGTTACTTATGTGCAGGGAGGGCGGGTGGGAGTGAGCTAGACGGCTTGCGGGCGGGTGGGTGTCTTGACTCATCCCACTAGGGCCCCTACCCCCTCCCCTGGACCTGGACGGGGCCGGTCGCGAGCGATCAGGGCGTCCAAAACAGCCTCGGCGAGGAAGCCAATATCATTGGTTTTACTAAGGTTTTGGCCCCATTTTGGCCTCTTGGGGGGGCAGCGCTAATTTGAGCTCCCCTCTTCTTTGATCGATCTCCTCCAAGATAGCCTCAAGAGGCGTCCAGGTGGCACCAAGAGGCCCAAGATGGCCCCAAGATGGCCCCAAGAGGCCCCCAAGATGCCCCCAGGAGGCCCCCAAGAGGACCCCAAGCGGCCCCAAGAGGCCCCCCCGAGGCACCCAAGACGCCCAAGAGCCCCCCAGGACCGCCAAGAGACCCCCAAGACGTCCCAAGAGGCCATCAAGAAGCGCCCAAGAGATATCCCAAGACGCTCCGGGAGGAATCCAAGAGATCTCTGGCCTTTTTGTTTACCTCCTCCTCCTGCTCCTCCTTCCTCCTCCTACTCTTTCTCTTCCTCCTTCTCCTCCTCCTGATCATCATCATCCTATTCATCCTCCTTCTCCCCACTCCCTCATCCATCCATCCAGCCTCCTCCTCCTCCTCCTCCTCCTCCTCCTCCCTCCTTCGCACGGTTCGGCCGTCCCCCTCGTTGCTCCCGCACTGCCCTGATCACCTCAACTCGCCTGGACATCGTTTCTGGATGGACTAGTGAGGATAAGCGAAGCATCTAGAATTAGGTAACGGTGTGATTGCTCTCATGACCGCCCAAGACATTGGCATCGCAACATGAAATAACCTTCCACGCAGCAAACGCGAAACCGTTGACGACTCGAAGACCTCCCCGTATACCCATCCCCGCTGGCCTGTGGCGCACTCTGCTCAGCGTGCTCTGCAAGACGCTTGCGGATGATGCGGCCATAAGGGCGCAGCTCGTCCTCGTAGAGCGTCACTACTGCTGCAAGCACCTGCAAGCAATGCCGCCCCAAGGCAGAACAGAAAAAGCACTAGCGGGCAGGCGGGCGACGAACGATACTGGGGTACGCAATGAACTGCCCACGGGCCCCGCACTCGAGCAACGCCGAAGGTTTGTGGTGGTGGGGACGCATCAAGCCATCGCGGGGCACAGCACCAGGGCGATGCACTCCCAGGTGCAGGGTGTGTCTCCACGCTGTCTGCAAGAGTCGCTGGGGACTGCCGGCCGACAGGAAGATTACCCTGCGACGTGTCCAACGAATTTGCATCACGTGACCAGGGTAATGGCTCGAACTGGTATGGATACTGAAAAGCACAAGATGCGCCCTCGCGTTGCGCAAACTACGTGGGATGCCCGCGCGCTGCACGACCCACAGGACAGCAACAGGAGGAGGAGGGGAGGAGGTCCCAGGCGCGAAGAGGAAGGGGGCGGGAACGACAGGGAGGAGGGTGAGGACCACGCAAATCGCCCATACAGCAATGCCGGCAAGCACGAACGACTGTTCCTTCTGTTTCCGACTCGGCCGCGAAGTGGCGCTGCCCGGCTTTCCTCGGGTGCTCCCCGTTGTCATACGGCGCCCGCCCCGAAGCAAGCTACCCTGGATGGCTTACTAATCGCCCCCCCCTGGAGTGCCCGGGGGGGTTGGCCGCGGCGAGCCCGCGGGGGTGGTGCTGGGGGGGGGTTGGCCGCGCCGCCTTCCACGTTTGGCACCCCCCAGTTGATTAATAACAAGTTCGGAGTACCCTTAAGTCGGGCCTGTCTCCTTACAGGGGGATTTTCGAAGAAAAATGGGAAATAGTCCAAAATATGAAAACATTGTAGAAAAGGAGAGAGGCATGGAGGGGGGCCGAGGGGGCGGAAGAATACAGTAGAGGCTGGTCCACAAGACGCCTTCACCCCAGGACGTCCATTGGTGTTGATGGTTTTTGGTGTGGGAGCGTCACGCCTTCCATCGCAAGACCATCGAAACCCAAGAAACCCAGGGCACCCTGGAGGCAAGCAGGGTGTTTCTTGGCATGGGCCTCCACTGTAGTCGGGCGTTGGCAAGACTGGGTTTAGTGGGACCTGGTTTAGCGATGTGTACTGGGGAACGCCCCCCCCGCCCCATTCCACTGACTGGAACTGCCGCCGCCCGAAAAACACCAACTACGGCAAACCTGGCTTAGTGATCCCAATCCATATTTTGGGCCTCGGGGCCCAATCACTAATCGGCTCCCCTCAACCAAGGTCCCGACTATGTAAATGTTTCCCGATGTGAGCTGTCACGTGCGCAAGCGCACCTGACGCACTCTGCACGGCACGTGCCCCGAACGCGGCGCACCTGGCGCGGCTGGAGTGCGCGGCGCACCTGGCGCACTCGGAGCACGTGGCGCATCTGGCGCACCAGGCGCGCCTGGCACGCTCGGGCTCCAGGGGTGCCTGGCGCGCGTGGCGCCCCTGGCACGCGTGGCGCACATCGCCCAAACGTCGCGTACCTGGGGTCGGCTTTGGTTCCCAGTAGCTGCCCATCCAATGACGACCGCTGAACATGCTCAGGCTCGGGTGTTACTTGGCAGGGTCGACCTACTAATCTGGGCCGACTGTATACCCGAGGTGTACGAGCTGGTCTTCCCGATGGCACCTCGCCCCTCGGGGCTTCGCCCCCTGATCGGCCGGCGCCTCCCCCCACACACCCCTCCCGTGGCGCGCAAAGCGCGGTGGGGGCGGCGACGGAGGTGCCGCCGGCCCCTGACTGGAGGCCTCCTAGATGGGGTCGGACATGATGGGGTGCGAGAATCGCGCCGCAATGCCGGTACATCGGCAATGCATCGGCGATGTATAGGCGATGCACCGGCAATGCATCGCCGACGTCGGCGATTCATCGACGACGTCGACGTGAAGAAAATCGGGCCCCACATCGAGCCGCCTTCCCCATGCATCGGCGATTCGAAGCGACCCTTCGACCCCATCTGCTCGGACCCCATCCAGGAGGCCTAGACTCACGCCCCTCCTAGTAGTAGTAGTAGTAGTAGTAGTAGTAGTAGTAGTAGTAGTAGTAGTAGTAGTCGTCATCGTAGTCGTAGTCGTAGTCGTAGTAGTAGTCGTAGTAGTAGTAGTAGTAGTAGTAGTAGTTGTAGTAGTAGTAGTAGTAGTAGTAGTAGTAGTAGTAGTAGTAGTAGTAGTAGTCGTAGTCGTAGTCGTAGTCGTAGTCGTAGTAGTAGTAGTAGTAGTAGTAGTAGTAGTAGTAGTAGTAGTAGTAGTAGTAGTAGTAGTAGTAGTAGTAATAGTAGTAGTAGTAGTAGTAGTAGTAGTAGTAGTAGTAGTAGTCGTAGTAGTAGTACTCGTAGTCGTAGTCGTAGTAATAGTAGTAGTAAAATAGTAGTAGTAGTAGTGGTATTAGTAGTAGTAGTAGTAGTAGTAGTAGTAGTAGTAGTAGTAGTAGTAGTAGTAGTAGTAGTAGTAGTAGTAGTATAGTAGTAGTCGTAGTAGTAGTAGTAGTAGTAGTAGTAGTAGTAGTAGTAGTAGTAGTGGTAATAGTAGTAGTAGTCGTAGTAGCAGTAGTAGTAGCAGTAGTAGTAGTAGTGATAATAGTGGTAGTAGTAGTAGTAGTAGAAGTAGTAGTAGTAGTAGTAGTAGTAGTAGTAGTAGTAATAGTAGTAGTCGTCGTCAGAAGGATCGTCGTAGTCGTAGTAGTAGTAGTCGTAGTAGTAATAGTAGTAGTAGTAGTAGTAGTAGTAGAAGTAGTAGTAGTAGTCGTAGTAGTAGGAGTAGTAGTAGTAGTAATAGTAGTAGTAGTAGTAGTAGTAATTGTAATAGTAGTAGTCGTAGAAGTAGTCGTGGTAGTAGTAGTAGTAGTAGTAGTAGTAGTAGTCGTAGTAGTAGTAACAGTCGTAGCGTCGTAGTAGTAGTAGTAGTGGTAGTAGTAATCGTAGTAGTTGTAGTAGTAACAATAGTGGTCGTAAGAAACTTGGAATGAATAATAGTAGTCGTAGTGGTAACAATAACAGTCGTGCTCGTCGCCGTAGTAGCAATAGTCGTGGTAGTAGTGGTAGTCGTAGTAGTAGTAGTAGTCATAGCAGTAGCCGTAGTGGTAGTAGTAACAATAGTAGTAGTAGTAGTAGTAGTAGTAGTAGTACTCGTGGTAGTAGTAGTAGTAGTAGTAGTAGTAGTAGTAATAGTAATACTATTCGTCGTCGTCGTCGTCGGAGTGGTAGTAATAATATTAGTCGCAGTAGTAGTCATACATATAATATTAGTACCAGTCGTAGTTGCAACAATAGTAGTAGTAGTAGTAGTAGTAGTAGTCCCAGAAATAGTAATGGTACTCATGGAATTGATCGTAGTAATAGTAGCAGTAGTAGTAGTAGTAGTAGTAGTAGTAGTAGTAGTAGTAGTAGTAGTAGTAGTAGTAGTAGTATCAATAGCAGTAGTAGTAGTAGTCGTAGTAGTAGTCGTAGTAGTAGTAATAGAAGTAGAAATATTTCAAGTAATTTAAGTCGTACTAATACCAGTCGTAGCCGTAGCCGTAATAGTCGTAGTGGTAGCAGTCGTGGTCGTCCTAGTAGCAGTAAACATGAGAGGTCGTCGTAGAAGTAGTGGTTGTAGGAGTAGTAGCAGTAGTCGTAGTAGTCGTCGTCGTAGGAGTAGTAAAACTACTAGTAGTAGTCGTTGTAGTAGCCGTCGTAGTATTTATAATAACAATTGCTCGTAGTAGTGGTAGCCGTGAGAGAACGAGTAGTCGTACTAGTAGTGGTAGTAGCCGTAGTAGGAGTAGAAATAAGAAGCATGTTAGAAGTGCCGGTAGTGGTAGGAGTAGTAGTCGTAGTTGTAGCCGCCATCGTAGTAGTCGTAGTAGTAGTAATAACCGTAGTCGTAGTAGCAGTAGTCAACGTCGTTGTAGTAATGGTCGTGGTAATGTCAGTAATCGTAGTACTAGTAATAAGTATCAGAGTCGTAGTGGTAATGGTAATCATGAAAGTCGTAATCGTAGATGTAGTGGTAGTAGTCAGCGTAGTGGTAAAAGGAGTCATAGTGATGTAGTAATAGTAATAATAGTAGTAATCATCGCCATCGTAAAGATAGTAGTAGTAGTAGTAGTAGTAGTAGTAGTAATAGTAGGAGTAGTAGTAGTAGTTATGAATCGTCGCAATCGTAGTCGTAGTAGTGATAATAATAATAATCGTCGTCGTAGTAGTAGTCGCCGTAAAAGTAATAGTAGTGGTAGCAGTAGCAGTAGCAGTAGTAGTAGTAGTGGTAGTAGTAGTAGTAGTAGTAGTAGTAGTGGTAGTAGTAGTAGTAATAGTAGTAGTAGTACAAGTGATAACCGTAGTCGTCGGACTAATAGCCGTAATCAAAGTAATACTGGTATTAGTGATGGTACTAGTCGTGGTAATCATGGTACTAGTCGTAGTCGTAGTCGTAGTAGTAGCTGTAGTAGTAGCAGTAGCAGTAGCAATAGAACTGGCCGTAGTAGAGCACATGTCGTAGCACTAGTAGTAGTAGTAGTAGTGGGAGTAGAGATAGTAGTCGGAATGCTCGTGGTAGGCGTAGTAATCGTCGTAGTCGTAGACGTAGTAGTCGTCTACAACAGCAATAGAAGCCGTAGTAGTAGTGGTATTAGTAGTCGTAGTACTAGCAGTAGTAGTAAGGTTTTTCCGTGTTGGTTTTATCATTAGAAGTAATAGTCGCATAAGTAAGGGTGGTAGCAATAGTACTCGTCGTCGTATCAGTAGTAGTAGTGGTAGTCCTAATAGTAATAGAAGTGATAATGGCAGTCGCAGTGATAATAGTAGTAGTAGAAGGAGTAGTAGTAGTAGTAGTAGTAGTAAAATAGTAATAGTAGTCGGAGTCGGAGTAATAATAGTAGTAGTAGTAGTAGTAGTAGTAGAAGTCGTAGTAGTAGTAGTAGTAGTGGAAGTAGTAGTAATAGTCGAAGTAGAAATAGTAATGGTGATAGTGATGATCGTAGTGGTAGGATTAGTAGTAGTAGTCGTAGCAGTAGTAGTAGTAGTAGTAATAATAGTAGTACTAGTAGCCGTAGCAGTAGTGAGAGTAGTAGTATTATCAATAGTACTAGTAGTAGTGATAAATCGTAGTGGTAGTAGTAGTCGTAGTAGCAGTAGTAGTAGCAGTAGTAGTAGTAGTAGTAGTAGTAGTAGTAGGAGTAGTAGTAGTAGTAGTAGTAACAGTAATGGTGATGGTCGCAGTCGTAGTCGTAGTAGTAGCAGTCGTAGAAGCAATACTAATAATAGTTGTTGGAAAGGAAATAATAGGAATAGCAGTAGTGGTAGTCGTCGCAGTCGTAGTCGTATCGATAAAGTAATAGTCGCAGTGCTGGTAGTTGTGATAGTCGAAACCAAGTGCCCTAGCCAGCCCAACCAGCCAACCCAACCAACCAGCCACCCAAACAACTCAACCGGCTCAACCAGCCCAACCAGCCACCCCGCAACCCCAGCCAACCCGCCACCCCGCCAACCCGCCCAACCCCGCCGCCTGCCCCCCGTCACCGTCGAGAGGGGGGGGGGAAGTGTTTCTTACAAGCGAAAACCACAAAAATCACCCTCCCGGGGTCTGGCGGGACAGCGGGGGGAGGGGAAATCGCGCCGTACCATGCGGGAGCGGGATTCGCGCCCGAGGTGCCCAAAGACGATTTGGGGCCTCAAATGCGACACTGTCGTCACTTTATTTCCTTTCACCGCGCTCTCCTTCTCAACGGAAAGGCTCCCATCCGTGAAACTGTCGTTATTTTTCAGCCCCCGCGAAGAGGCTTCATAGAGGCCCCCAGAGGCTCCAGGAGGGCCCATGGCGGCCTCGCGAGTGCCTAGGAGACCTCCGGAGGGCCCCAGGAGGACCCACTCTGCACCGCGCCCGCCTTCTGAACGGAAAGGCCCCCATGCGTGAAATTGTTTTCATCATTCCGCCCCCGCGAGAGAGTTCTTAGAGGGCCCACGGAGGCTCCAGGAGGGCCCATGGCGGCCCCGAGAGAGCCCACGAGATCTCAAGAGCCCCCCCGAGGACCCACTTTGAATTACACTCAGGGAGCTCCAGAAGGCCCAGGAGGCTCCAAGAGGCCCCAAGAGGCCCCGAAGAGCCCAAACAGGCCACAGGACCCCCAGCACGCTCTAGGAGAGCCACGGCGACACCAAAAGGCTCCAGGACGGGCGTCATTCCCTCTCCTCCTCCTGCTCGTCGTCGTCATCCTTCTCCTCATCCGTCCTGCTTCAAATCCTTCCTCCCCCTCTTCCTCCTCCTTCTCCTCCTCTTTCTCCTCCTCCTCCTCCGCCTCCTCCTCTTCCTCCTCCTCCTCCTACCTCATCCGTAGCCTCGATGGCTCCGATAGCGCCGTGCGCGAGATCCGCCTCCTCCCCATCCGTCCTCCTCCCTCCTCCCTCCTGCTTCCCTCCTCCCTCCTCCCTCCTCCCCTCTTTCGGGAGCGTCACAAAGAGGCCCTCCGAGGAGAATTTCACGACGAGCCTTGTGGAAACTTCCGAGAGCCTCAGGGGTGGACGCCTGGCGCAAGAACACGAGTGGAGGAGGAGACAACACGACGCTTGGTTTCTACCCCCGTGAGGGGCGTTACAGGGTAGTAGAATAGTCGTAGAAGTAGTCGTCGTCGTCGTCGTCGTCGTCGTCGCCGTAGTACTACTAGTAGTCGTAGTAGTAGTAGTAGTAGTAGTAGTAGTAGTCGTAGTAGTAGTAGTAGTAGTAGTAGTAGTAGTAGTAGTCGTAGTAGTAGTAGTAGTAGTAGTAGTAGTAGTAGTAATAGTTGGATTAGTATCAATAGTGGGAGTCGTAGAAGTAGTAGTGGTACTTGTCGTAGTCTCGTAGCAATAGTCGCGGTAGTCGTGGTAATAACCATAATAATAATAGTTGTCGTGATCGTGGTACTAATAACAATAGTGGTAGCAGTCGTCGTAATATGATTAAAATTCGTAGCAATCGTAGCAGCAGTAGTAAAAGTAGTCGTAGTCGCAGTCCCATAGTAACAATGGTACTAGTAGTAGTAGTAGTAGTAGTAGTAGTAGTAGTAGTAGTAGTAGTAGTAGTAGTAGTAGCAATAGTACTAGGTGTCGCAATAGTAAGTCGTACAAATAAAATTAGTCGAAGTAGTAGTAGTAGTAGTAGTAGTAGTAGTTGTAGTAGTCGCCGCCGTCGTCGTCGTAGTGGTAGTCGTGATCGTAGTAGTAATAGTCGTGGTCATTGTAGTAGTGGTAATAAGTGTGGTAGTCGTAGTAAGAATAATAATAGTCGTAGTCGTAGTAGAAGTGGTAGAAGTAGTAGTAGTAGTAGTAGAAGTAGTAGTAGTAGTAGTAGTAGTCGTCGTAGTAATAGTAGTAGTAGCAGTCGTACTCGTCGCACCAGCGGTGGTAATAGTACAAGTCGTCGTCGTCGCGATCGTAGTCTTACTCGTGGAAATTTTAATAGTCGCACTAGTAGTACGAATAGTGGAAATAGTAGTAGTAGTAATAGTAGTAGTAGTCGTAGTAGTAGTAGTAGTAGTAGTAGTAGTAGTACTTGTCGCATTAATAGTAGTAGCAGTAGTCGTAGTCGAAATAGTAGTAGCGGTAGTAATGGTCATCATAGTGGTAGTTGTAGTAGTAGTTGTAGTCGTAGTAGTAGTAGTAGTAGTAGTAGTAGTAGTCGTCGCAGTATAGTAGTAGTAGTAGTAGTCGTAGTAGTAGTAGTAGTAGTAGTAGTAGTAGTAGTAGTAGTAGTAGTAGTAGTAGTCGTAGTAGTAGTAGTAGTAGTAGTAGTAGTAGTAACAATGGTAGTCGTAGTCGGGTAGTAGCAACGGCAGTCGTTGTAGTCGTAGTAGTAGAAGCAATAGTGGAAGTCGTTGTTGAAATAGTCGTAGTAGCAGTAGTAGTAGTCGTCGTAATAAAACTAGAAGAAGAAGTAGTAGTAGTAGTCGTAGTCGTAGTAGTAGTAGTAGTAGTAGTAGTAGTAGTAGTAGTAGTAGTAGTAGTAGTAATAGAAGCAAGTAGTAGTAGTAGTAGTAGTAGTAGTAGTAGTAGTAGTAGTAATAGAAGCAGTAGTAGTAGTAGTAGTAGAAGCAGTAGTAGAAGTAGTAGTAGTAGTAGTAGTAGTAGTAGTAGTAGTAGTAGTGGTAGTAGTAGTAGTACTCGTCTGGGTAGTAGCAAGAGTAGTAATAGTAGAAATAGTAGTCGTAATCTTTATAGTCGTCGTAATAATCAAAATTCTACTATTATAATCGTAGTGGTAGTAGTAGTAGTAGGAGTAATAGCAGTAGTAGTCGTAGTCGTAGTAGTAGTAGTAGTAGTAGTAGTAGTAGCAGGGGTAGTCGGAAGAGTTGTAGTAGTAGTCCTGGTAAGGAGTAGTCGTAGTAATAGTAGTGTAGTAGAGAATCGTCGTCGTCGTAGTAGTAGTAATAGTAGTGGTAGTAGTAGTAGTAGTAGTAGTAGTAGTAGTAGTAGTAGTGGTAGTACTACTACTACTACTTGTTGAAGTAGTAGTGCTAGTCGTAATAATAGTAGTAGTAGTAGTAGCAGTCGTAGTAGTAGTAGTATTAGTAGTAGTAGTCGTAGTCGTAGTCGTAGTCGTAGTCGTAGTCGTAGTAGTAGTAGTAGTAGTAGTAGTAGTAGTAGTAGAAATAGTAGTAGTAGTCGTAGTAGTAGTAGTAGTAGTAGTCGTAGTAGTAGTAGTGGCCATAACAGTAGTAGTAATCGTAGTAGTCGTAGTAGTAGTACTAGTAGTAGTCGTCGTCGTCATCATAATAGTAGTCGTAGTAGTAGTAGTCGTAGTAGTAGTAGTAGTAGTAGTTGTTGTTGTTGTTGTTGTCGTACTACTAGTAGTAGTAGTAGTAGTAGTAGTAGTAGTCGTAGTAGTAGTAGTTAGTAGTAGTCGTAGTAGTAGTAGTAGTAGTAGTAGTAGTAGTAGTAGTAGTAGTAGTAGTAGTAGTAGTAGTAGTAGTAGTAGTAGTAGTAGTAGTAGTAGTAGTAGTAGTAGTAGTAGTAGTAGTAGTAGTAGTAGTAGTAGTAGTAGTAGTCGTAGTAGTAGTAGTAGTAGTAGTAGTAGTAGTAGTAGTAGTAGTAGTAGTAGTAGTAGCAGTAGTAGTAGTAGTAGTAGTAGTAGTAGTAGTAGTAGTAGTAGTAGTAGTAGTAGTAGTAGTAGTAGTCGTCGTAGTCGTAAAAACATCGCCAGTCCTATACGGGGAAGCCTTGGCCCCGCGGTTCCACCTGCCCCCGGGGGTGTTGGTACGCAGATGGCCTCTGCGTCGGGCACTCGCGGCAGCCATCCCCGCCTCGAAGGGGACAGGCCAGTGGCGACAAAGAGCCCTGGCCAGCTCCAGAGGGTCACCCCGGCAAAGGGGGAACGCTAGGGGGGGGGGGGGACTGGCTCAGGGGGGGGAACATCGCGCTGCGATACGCCTCCGATAGAGCGGCGATACGCCCTCGATAGCGAAACCGCACGGCCTGGGCGTGGTGGGCAACCGGGCCCCTGCATCGGCGACCGATGGGCGATTGGGGGTCGATGCGCCCACCCTGAGCCTATCCTCCCCTAACGTTGCCCATCTGGTTTTCGGGTCATGACTCTCCAGCGGCCGTTCAGGAAGATCTGTGAATGCCCGGGAAGCTCTTGGCGAGGCGCAGCCGCTGGGAGGCATCCCGAGGCTGAAAAACCGCCGAGAACCAAAGGAAACCACCAATAAACTCGAACCTCGAAACTCCGTCCCCCCTGAGCCTCTCCCCTCATACGTTGCTCCTGGTGCGCCGCGTTGGGACGGACCGCGCTGGCTCCACAAGGCCACCCCGGCGAAGGGCTGCTTTCTCGCGCAGCCCGCCAGCCCCAGGAAACCCTGGCCAGGACGAGAATGATGACATGACAGGACTGGGTCAGGATGCATGCGTTCCAGGAGGCCTCGTCTGGCAGGAGGCTCGCGCGGCGACCGCTGTTGCGCAGAGGGCCGTCTGTCTCACATGAACAACGTCCGCGGCGGCACCGACAACGAGCCCTGTTCAGAATGGGTCAGATTTGATGTTGCTCCTCCGTGCCCAGGCCTTCCGTACCATCTGAACGACGAAAACAAGCGGGTCTTGCTCGAGATGGCATAACGCTCTCCCGCGCTGGCTTGCGCGGGCCGCCGGCGCGGCACGCCACATTGGAGACGAGGCCACATACGCGCGACCTCAAGCGGGCAGCTCACGCGCCAGTGGACCTTGAGCAGGGACCGACCGTCCTGGCATTCCTAAAGTCCAACCACAATGTTCTTAGAACATAAACCCGATGTGCTAAAACAAGACAGACTCCGCCAGATATGTTCTAAAAACATTTCGTGGAAGCCACATCAGGTTCTTAGAACATTGTTTGGTAGGGCTATAGGCACGCTGGGACGCTTCGCCACTGCTTGAGGACCCCACCTTTTGCTTGGGCGCCCGAGTTATCCGGGGTAACTCGGGCCCGGGGTAACTCGGGTTTGGATTCCCGAAAAAACGAACCCGAGTTAGCCCTGACCCGAATTATCCCTGATGATTCGGGGCTCTGGACGCCCGAGTTATCTGGGGTAACTCGGGCCCGGGGCAACTCGGGTTCGGATTCCCGAAAACCGAACCCGATTTAGCCCTGACCCGAGTTACCCCTGATGATTCTGGTCTCTGATTTGCCTCGCTCCTCCCGATCGTGCCGACGCGAGCCCCTGGCCGCCCCGAGGGCCCCGCGGGCCTCGTCGGGCAGGAGGCCGCGGCGGCGCTCCTCTGCGGCCTCCGCCCCGCCGCCCCTCCCGCGCGGCCTCGCCGAGGCCGCGTCCTGCAGGGCGCGGGCGGGCGGGCGCCGCCAGGGCCCAGGCCTCGAAAGTCAACCATTCGTTTGAGATCTAGTATTTTTTTTCCCCCCAGCTCTATGATCTTACTCTCGCTCGCCATCTCGATCTCAGGTCCATCGGGTGGACATTATTCAAAAAATCCAGGAAGGCCGGGTGTTGCCAGAGGTGCCCCTGGCCCAAGGTGCCCCCAGCGTTTCGCTCCACCTCGGGCTCCCTGGGGCCCTCCCTGGCCTCTCGAGGGGCCCTCTTGGAGGCCGTCGGGGCCGCCCCCGAGAAGCCTGGGGGCACCAGGGGCACCTCGAGCAGCAGCCGACAAGGATCGGGGAGACGTAAGACTCGGATACGGGGGACGCGGGTTGGCCTGACGGGGTCCATCATAAAAACAACGAGACGCAATCTGAAATTTGACGCGAGCTCCCACTGCAAACATCCCACGAAAACTGGACCGTCACAGTCCAGGACGCGCTCGTCAAAAAACGTCGGCAAACCCGAGTTCCGGCTTACCCCGGTCTTACCTTCCCCCGAAAGGAGCGACGAGAACAGCAGAAACGATCTGGCGCGAGGCGGCCCAACGCCGCGGCTCACGCGGGCGGGCCGCCGGCGCGGCGCGCCCCACTGGAGACGAGGGCGCCGGCGCGCGACCCGGCGCGGGCAGTTCTGAAGGGGCCCCAGGACACACAAATAAATACACACAAATAAAATGATTCCCCATATTTTCCCATATCTTTAAAATGATTGTCTTCCCCCCCACTTCCCATATTTTCCCATAGTTTCCTGGGAGTGGACGATTAATTGTGTCTGTGTGTTTTTGTCCCCTCCTGAAGTTCACGCGCCACGATCGGTGAAGACGGCCGCCCCGTGTTCTTCCGTCGCTCCAGTGGGCGACGAACAGCAGTAGGAGTGTCCAGAATCAAGTCGGAGCGGCGGTCGGAAGGCACCGGATCGGCGGAAAAGCCAGGTCGGGAGGAGTCGGGTGGGCGGCAATCGGCAGGCTGGTGAGGCCTTCTTCAAGAATCCGACATCCAAATCGGAATCCGAAACCGAATCGAATCGGGATCGAGATCGATCGAAACAGAATCGAGTTGAAATCGAAATGAGCCCCGAATGGGGTCTTATGCGAGGAGACATGGTGACCTTGCGCGCTAACTTGAGCGGGCCGCTGGCGTGGCAAGCCTAGTGGAAACGAGGGCGCTTGCAAGCGACCTTACGCGGGCAGCTTACGCGCCGATGTCGGCACAAGGCGCCGACAGGCAGGTGTCGCCTCTCATGCCATCTTGTTGGCTCTTGCTCTTGCGAACCGATGCTGGCCGATGCAAGTCGACGTGGATCGGCGCTCTCTCATCGACTGCCAGACGCTAGCGTACGCTTACGCGCCCTGGAGATGAAATCCCGCCGGCCCTCTGCGCGCAGGTGGTCTGGCAAGTTTCCTTTTCCAGGTTATCCCTTCCCCCATTCGGGGAAGTTGAAGGGGCCCTGGGACACGCAAAGAAATCTACACAAATCACAGGATCCCCCGTATTTCCCCTATATTCTCGGGGTTTCTGTCCTCCCCCCCACTTCCCATATTTTCCCATACTTTCCTGGGGATCGACGATTCATTGTGCCTGTGTGTGTTTTTGTTCCTCCTGGTTTGCCTCCCCTCCCCTCCCTGGGTCTGGGCGGGCGGGGGCCGCGAGGGAGGTCACTGGAGCGCCCAGGACGGCCCAAGAGGGCCCCAAGAGGGCCCCAAGAGAGCCCAAGAGGGTTTCCAGGATGGCTCAAGGTGCCAGGGCTCGAGTTAGACAGTGTTTTCCGTTTTCGTTTTGTCTTCGTCGTCCCTAGTTCTGTCTTCGTTTCACATGTGCTGCAAAATGAAGTCAAAACGAAAACGGTCCACGAAATTGCCAAGACACCGTTTAGCTCGACCTTGAGCTTGGGGGGCAGGGGGGCGTTCACTAATTATTTCCCTCTACCGTAGGTCGACCCTGCCAGGATCAAGAGTACCCTCGTGTCCTGTGCCTCGCGACCCATGCTTCGGACAGTCCTGTGGCTGTGGCCCTCGAAAGGGTCTTGTGTTCTCTCGCGTGTCCTCTCCAATCAAGCCCGACTGTAGCCAAATATGGCTTGAGATAGCCTCCGACATACCCCCAAGAGGCTCCAAGACGCCCCCAAGGCTGATAGAGGTGCTCTCGGAGCCATCCAAAGACCCTCCCACAAGGCCAACACATCGATGCTTGTTGCCTCCTCGCGTTTTCGCTTCCGATGGTCATTTGAGGCCTGAATGCGACCCCGAGATGGCCCAAGGGAGCCCCAATATGGCCCCATAGTCCCCCAAGAGGGCCGCAAGAGCGCCCAAGAGGCGCCCGAGAGCGCCCCAAGAGGGCCCCAACGAGGCGATTTGCCAGCCTCCCTAGAGGGGGAGAACGCCGAAAACAACCTTTGCCCTTTTTGAACTATGGCCTCCAAGATCGTCCCAAGAGGCCCCAAGAACCCCCCAATGAGCCACTAGAGGCCCCCAAGATGGCTCCGAGCGAACCAAAAACGCTGCCCAAGTAGCTCCCAAATGGCTCCAAGATGGCTCGAAGAGGCTTCCAAGAAGCTCGCGGAGCGAAAGCTCCGGGAATGCTTGACGGGTCTGCTCAGGCTAACACAAGGCTTCGGTTTGACGGCTTCCCCAGCTCTTTGCCCCACTGCATGCTGCCCCACTTCCCTGATCAAGCAAAGTCGCCAGGGCATCGCTGCTGGATGGGCTGGTGGGGAGACGCAAAGCTTTAAGAACCCTAAGGGGATACGAGACTCCGATGTTTTGCTACCGAAGGAATCCAGGCCTCCGGAATGGAGCCCGAACATGTCCTGAGAGCCTGGCTCGGCTGCACGCAAGAGTGACTCTGGGAACAAAGTGGACTTTGGTGCGCGGCTTCTTGGGGGCCGTGGGGGTGCCAACGCACAAGCGCGCAAGACGCTACCACCGCATCGCGTCCGGGGATCGGTGGGCCCCTTTGGGCCCGCACCAAAGGTCACTCCGGCGAAAGGTCACTCTTACGTGCAGTCGACTGGCGTTGCAGTGGTTTCTTATCGGGCGTTGGCAGAACTGGGTTTAGTGGAGCCTGGTTTAGTGATTTGTACCGGGGGCGCCCCCCCGTCCCGTTTCCACTGTAACCGGAACTGCCGTCACCCGAGGAAACACCAGCTGCGCGGCAAGCCTGGTTTCCTGGTTCTGGCCGATCCAAGGGCCCCGGGGCCCTACCACGAACCGGGTCCCCTTCCCCGGGGTCCTGGCCATACCCGATCTTAGCGGGCGGTCTGGCCCTGTCTCCGGCCCCCTGGGGCCCTCGCAAACCGAACCGGCTGGGAACGCTGCGGCAGCAGACAGAGGGCGTCGCAAGCTCCGGCCGTGGCTCTTCGCGACGCTGCACCTGGTCGCACCGCAGTGTCGGACCCCAGGGTGTGTCCGGGCCTCCCAGGCTGGTGTCCGAGCAGACGTGGTCGCAGGATCGCGCCGCATCGCCGATGCACCGCCGATGCGGCCTGATGTGG